AAAATCTCTGTAGAAGGGCTTTGCCTTCTGCCGGCTCCTGGAATTGATTCCAGAAAGAGAGCAGCCTGACCCAACAGCACTTATCCCAGCTGATAACGCTCCAGCCAGGAGCATGCATTATTCTCTGATGTGCAGCACCAGCGCCTGAAAGGGGCCAAGCCCTTGCTGGCTTCCGGGGGTGCTGACTCCAGGAGGGGGCAGAGTGTCAGATAAAGGCAGGCAGAAGGGACTAGCAGCAGTGACCAACCATTCCCACCTGTAGGCAGTAGAAGTCTCACTATGGAACTGAGGGCTGGCTGAGGATCAGGCTGCCTGGGCATGTGACTGAACTTTGTCTAGAGGAGAAGGACCCGTGGGCAAGTTCCTTGTCTCATTTGCTGTAAAGCACCATATATGTCTCTGCCACTCTACGATGGGGGTTTCTTTGGATAAGTGCAGATAGGTCAGGCCTGGGCAAAATGCAGTCTGCCAAGCGACTGTATCTGGTCTGCAGATGCTGCGGGGAGCCCCAGGCAGGCTCTCCACGTGCCTCGCCCCACCCACACGTGGCTGTGGGGAAGTTTTTCTTTAAAAACTGTGAATCTGGAGGGGAGGGGGAAGCTTTAGGAGCTGCTTCTTCCCCCAGCACAATCCCATTGGCCAGTTTCCAATGGGAGCTGCCTGTTTCAATAACAGGCAGCCATGAAGCACAAGGGGCTCTAGAGCACTTGGCTGCAGCCTGTGTGGGGGAGGGCAGGCAGGGAGGCTGATTCAGGAACTGCTGCTGGCTGGTAAGTCTCCTGGCAGAGCCTTCATCTGGCACCCCAGTCCTTCCCTTCCCAACCCTCTGCCCCCCACTGCTGCCCCCTTCTGCACATAACCAGAGCCTGTGCCCCCCTCCTGTACCTATATGCCCTCCCAGATCGGCACCACAATCCCCTGCTCCAGATTAGTCCCCTCCTGCCCTAGCTCACAACCCAAATCCCTGCGGTATATACAGTTACCTTTTTAATAAACATTCAACTCTGAACTGGAGCAATTTTCACTACATACATATCCCATATCCTGTATCCCAATTCCCTGCACTAGGTCACAATCCAACCCCCTCTGCCCCAGGTCACAACTGCCTCCTTCACTCAAACTCCCTCCCTACCCCAAGTTCCCTTCTGTACCAACCTCCATCCCAGACCCTGCACTGCCTCCATTAATATTGTGGAAGAGTGCAGCCCTCGGCCACTCTCCAAATTCTTGGACTGTCCCCCTCCCCCCCCCAACATAGGTGATGGGTGTGAGGGAATTCACCCCTAGATGAGAACCATCATGAAGCCTTTGCATTGCAGTTTAGCCCCATGTAAGACCTCCAACGAGGGTGTAAATGAGGGTGTAGGCCTCAACCTTGGCCCTCTGACCCGGCTGAATATACTCTGGTGAGGCTGTAAGGTGCACAGCAACAAGTTACCAGTCTCTGTGTGTAAATTGCCACAATGGCTCTTTCTGCATGTATCTGCCTCTCCTAGCTCATGTCTGTTGGGAACCGCTGTGGGTGGAGCTGGGGGTGACACCATGCTGGCTCTGAGCTAGCACACTAACCATTCAAAGCAAATCACAGGAGGCCCAGCATCAGACAAAACACAAACCAGCCCAATTCAACACCAGAACAAAACCAACTGACCCACGCAGTGAACAAGATCAAGTAGGCTAGGAAACCTGACCGCTGAGGGCTCTGTTGCTTCACTAAGCTGAAGGCTCCCCATGGTTTATACCTGTCACTCTGTATTTTGGTTTAGCTCAAAATTTAGAAAATGCTCCCATCACTGAGTGTTTGGATACAGGTACAAATAGAACAAGAACAATAATACAGGAAACCCCCTCATTAAAACAGACCGAGTTGCGACTCTTCCCCCCCCCGACCATTTTTGTAAATGCAGAAGAGGCTGAAAACCCCTGACTTACGTCCTCGGCCCCCATTTACGACGGTGCATGGCGCCTATCATAAATACGGGTTTGAGTTATGACACCCCCAACTTGTGACACTTCCCCGGGAACTGATCGTGTCGCAAATCGGGGGCCGCCTGTAATCAACGTCAGCTGAAGTGAATTCTGTCACTGCCTCCCCAGCCTGCTCCCCCTCCCCCGGGCATGTTCACAACAGTCCCTGTGGAAATGGGGGAATCTCATTGGTGCCTGATGCTGTGCAAACATGGACACTCACACGAGGAGCCAATTCTAGAGCTAAGAGCTTCCTGCTTATCACTGTGTGGATTTCTAATGGGGGGGGCTTTTAGTTCTCCACTTCCCTAATGGTATGCAGCTGCCCTGCCCTGCCGTTCCCACATTGCTAATGGGAGCTGGTCTCGCTGTGGAGAAAGTCAAGAACTGCCTTAAAGATAGGCCGTGCGGGTGAAAGGTTCTGGATGGAGGGGCCTATCACCTGGTATCTTCCCCTTGGTGATGTACAATGGCAATGTTACCTTCCCCCTTGCTGCATCAGCCCTGACCTGGGGGGACCATCCCTAGGAGCAGGCATCTAGCTCAGACTCTATTGACTTGGCCTCATGAGCGTGTCACCTAGTGCCACTGTCCAGACTTTCAAGAGTGGCTCTTGACTTTGGTACCCAACTGGTCACTCCTCAAGGAACCTGATTCTTGAGGCAGGGGGTGCTCAGCCCTTCCTGAGAGCTGGGCTCTGCAAAGGTGGCTCCAGCTGGACACACACAATCACTAGCCAGTTTGGAAACGTTGGCTTGTGGCTATTGTGATGGGAACCAGCCTGAATCACTGGCTTGCAGGTCACTGAATGGACAGTGGTTGGGGGCAACTTCCACTCACTACTGATCTGGGTAGGATTTGAACTGCTGGTGCAAAAAAACCCGCCCCCCCCCCCCCCCCCGGCCTCCTTCTAGTAACTCCACAGGAAGGCAGCTGAAAGAGTCACGCTCTCCCCTAAAGCCCGCCATCCCCTAGAGAATTTCTGGCTCTGCGAAGAGCTCTCAGGAATGTTAATAGTTTGCTGGTGGATAAGCAGGGTCTTTGCGCAGGATTTGGAGAGATTTGCACCAACTTTCATGTGAGCGCTTCAGAATGGTTGAAATGCAGCTTTTCCCTCATGAAGGCAGAGGGAGGGGGCACCTGCCATGGCCCACACTGGCTGTGTACCCCAAAGAGTGGAACCCCCTCTCCAGTGCCCAGAGCACCATGAAGGCAGCTCCAGCCTCCCACATTGTAGGCTGTTTGAGAAGAATGGGGATGCCCTCCACTAGGGATGTTAAATATCAACTAATCTAATATAGGAAACCCCTGCATTACAGTGGCCTGAGTTGCAACCCCCCCACACTTACAACCATTTTTATAAGTACGGAAGGGGCCGAAACCCCCGACTTATGTCCTTGGCCCGTATTTACAATGGGGCACGGCGCCTATCGTAAATGCGGGTTCAAGTTACGACGCCCCCACTTGCGACGCTTTCCCAGGAACCGATCACGTCACAAGTTGGGGGCCGCCTGTAGTTGATGCATTTTGCATTGACTGTTCAATTGACTGATAAGGCTCCTCGGGCTGTTGCTACACTTCAAGGTGAAAGCACTGCGAGGAGCCCAGGATCAGCTTGGGGACTCCCCTGTTGACCCCTGGCTCCATATGGTGCTGCTTTGAAACTCAGCGTGCAGCCTGATGCTGGGATCCCCGTGACACTTCAAAGCAACAGCGCTGCATGGAGCCCGGGGTCAGTGGGGGAGTCCTCAGCTGAACCGAGGCTTCATGTGGCACTGCTGCTTTGAAACGCTGCATGTAGCCTGGGGACACCCCAGCTGGCCCCGGGCTCCCCGCAACATTTCAAAGTGGCAGTGCCACGTGGAGCCTGGGGTTTGGTCCCAGGATCCCAGCCCCTCCTCTTCCCCCCTCCTGCCTCTTTCTGATAGAGGCAGGGGGGGCAGGGGTGGGGAGTGACTAGTCCTTCACATCCTTACCCTCCACTGTCTCCCAGTGGTGTGCCCAGTGGTCAAGGACTTGGCACAGCCCCTTGCAGCAGAGACAGGATGAACCAAAGCCCTGGGTCTACATGCTTGATCCAGGCCTGGGGTGGATTGGTGGGTATGTAATCAGAGGGTGCCTGCAGACATACCTGAGCTAGCTTTAATCTAGCTAAGATGAATGAATACCAACAGTGATGAAGCTGGAGCAGACTGGGCTTCAGCATGGCCTGTACAAGCCAGCCTGGGACCTTAGGTACTTGGGCAGCTAGTCCCGGTTAAATTCTGCCACGTCTGTTGGAACCTGAGTGAGCGTGGATACATCTACGCAGGTGGCAAGCGTATTCCGGACAGCCGAGCCATACTCCATCACTGGAGAAGGGATCTGCACTGGACTGAATGTGGGTTGGGGACGGGGGTAACAGGCAGCTTTGGATTCACATGCAATAGCTTGGGCTCCTCTTGATCCCACCCACCCTGGGAATGGCTCGACAGCCAACACAGGCCGCCCCAGGGATGGACCTGTCTCCTGCATTAGGAAAGTAGGATAAGGGACCCTTGAGAGGTGGGGTAGGTTCTGGAGTGGCCTAGAGGGTATGGGCTCTTCTTGATCCTACTGCAGGCGACTAATCCTCTCTCTAGCCTCCACCATGGAGCATTGGGAAGCCCCCCAGGGTAACTCAGCCCTATAGTGGCAAAGAGGAGGGAGCAAGGTAAATAGCAAATGGGATTCCCAAGCCCTGCAGCATCCACAGGCTGGGAACACCCCAGCATCTCTCTCTCACTCTTTGATACTAATGCACCCAGTGGAGCACATGGAACAGAAGAAACAACCGATTTCCTGCATCTCCAGCAGATTTTGACAGAACGAAAAGATGCTCGAGTCCAGGGGCTCCTGCATTTAAAGGTGCATGTGCAACCTGCTCTCAGCTCTGCCCTGCAGCTAGATTTGAAATGCGGGTGCAGCTGGAGACGCAGGGATTAGAAAAGAGTCACCACTCGCATGGCCAGGTCAGCACTAAGACACAAAGTAGAAAGGGGAAGGTTCCTTACCTTGACATATTCACTGCAGGACTCCGGGCCTTCAGAGGAACTAGAAGAAACAAAAAGGAGTTAATGACTATCAGAGTGACAGCCGTAAAACATGATCACTGAGCCTTTGGTCACCCAGCGACAGACCATACTGGGGCTGCGCTCTGGGTTCTCCCTGACTCATCCCAGTCAGGCCACCTGCTGGACAATGCCCCAGCAGCAGCTTTACTTTTGAGGAGCCAAAAGCACAGTTCCAGGATAATTCCAGCTGGACGTCCCTCTGGGCAGGCTACTTAGAAAAGCCGTACAGAAGCAGGGGAAGGAGGACATGTGATATGGTACGTGCTCTATGCTAAGGGGCTGCAGGAACAGCAGATCTAGGAATTATACACTTTTTACTCCCTCCGTCCCCTGTGAAACAGAAGAGGGACAGAGCTGTTCCTGCCGGAGGCCATGCTCTAGAGGAGGAAGCTCTGGGTCAGTCAAGGTTACACGGCTTTTCCCAGTTCGGGGAATGACCTGCCTCGGGCAGGCACCAGACGGCCTTGCTAAATAGCTCAGAGAACAAAGATGTTTGCATGTGAAGTTCCTAGAGCACTGGCACCCCCCCACTCCCCGCCCAGTCCCCGAGCTCCTGGTGTAGGGCTTTGCATTCCCAATGGGACAGGAGAAGAATGAGGTCTTTCTTGTGGGATCACTCCTCAAATCGGCTTGGGTGGCATGAGCTGGGCCAAGCTCCATATATCTGCTGGATTTGGTGGAGTCTCTGGAGTTCATGGCAGCTGAGCCAGAACCTTGACGCTGTTGGGTGGAATCCTTCCAGGCCCATTAGGGCTGGGACTGAGGGGGAGAGGAGCAGGCAGACCAGGTGTGCAGGCTTCCTGTGTTGGGGGGGGAGGGGGAAATGATCTTGCAATCACTAACACCCCCTCCAGCTGCTCATTCCTGATTTCCCCTCAGTCAGCCCTGGATTTCCATCCTGCTCTGGGAAGAGAGAGCCACTGGGACAAAGGAGTCACACAAGTGTTTCCTGTGCACCTTCCTGCCCTGTTGGCCCCTGGCTGCTTCCAGATGGAGCACAAGGGAGCTCGGAAATGCGGAAAGGGGTGGGACGGCAGGCCCAGAATAACTCTCAGGCTCATGGGTCAAGAGCCAGACAGTGCCTCCACCCATCCTAGGAAGGCCTGTCTGGAAATAGCCCTCCCCCCACACACTGTGCCCTGCAGGGAGCCAGCCCCACAAGCCAATCTGTTCTCTTTGCTACAGCCAGCTGTTTCTGTTAGGCACCATGGGATTGCTGGCAGGAGAGGCTGCAGAAACTGGTATTCCCAGGCACTCGATGAGCATGTGGCAAGGACTGGATCCTGCTCCCCTTGACATCAGGGGTACAGGACCAGGCTGCGTGCTAGCTGGAGGGAGGGGAAGGAAGGAGTAGCCTGTTTGTAACCGAGTCCCTTCGGAGGGAGTACTTGCTGAAACACCCGATAACCACCCTTTCTTTGCTTGCCCCATCCAGTCACAGGAAAACACCTTTGTTCTCTGAGCTCATTAGCAAGGCCGTCTGGTGCCTGCCTGGGTCAGGTTATTCCCCCAACTGGGAAAGCCCTGTCAGGGCTTCCTCCTTCCTCAGTCAGGGCATGGCCATGGGCAGGAACAGCGTTGTTGCTCTTCGCATTTTATTCCCTCTATTCCCTGTGAAGCTGGACAGTCCCTAGATCTGCGACGGCTAGGGCTTTCTGCTGTCCCTACTGCCCTCTCAGCATACAGCACGTACCATACCAAAAGCCCTCCCTCCCCGGCCTCAGTATGGCTTTTCTAAGTAGCTGGCCCAGAGCAAAGTTCCATCTGAGATCACCCTGGAACTGTGCTTTCAAACAACCCTGGGTGTAACTCGGTGCACTCCTGTCCTGTCTCCTGCCTGTGTGAGGCTGTGATAATTTTAAAAAAAGGCACTGGGGCCTCCAACAGGAGGAAATTACCCCATTGACTCTTAAACCTCCTGAGAACACCCAAATCATCCAAGCTGGTAGCTATTTAACTACAGCATTTGGGAATCTATCATTCCCTGGTAGCAGATGTTTAGGCACCTCACTCCCTGCTGAAGTGTTTGCACCTTGAGGGTGTAATGCTGCTGCTGTTTAAGAGCTCATGGCCACTGCGTGCAAGCTTAGGGTAAGTGGAGCAGAAGGTTGTAGGCCACTGAAGCTGCAGGGGCAATTTGAGAGACCTGGAATACAGTGACCTGAGGAGAATTTCGCCAGGGCATTGGAGTCACCATCCCAATTCTACCAGCAGCAGGAGCTTATCTTCAAAAAAACCAATCAAAGCCTAAGCTTAGTTTCTTACTCAAAAGTTCCGCCTGCAGAGCCCTGGGTAGGTAACAAAGAATGCCCCCACCCCAGGGCTCTCTTTAGAGGTCTCCCATCTAAGTCCTGAGTTATTGCAACAAGCCTTAGCTTGTCAGAGCTGACAGGGTCACAAGCACAAGGTGACACAGCTGCAAGCCATAGGTATGCTGCATAACACTATAGCTTGGCCTACACTTAAAACTGGTATTGACCTAGCTATGATATTGCATACCTGTGACAGATGTAGCAATGCTGACAAAAGACTGCTTCTGTCAATGAAGCTAAGGGTCCGGAGGAGTGGGGGTGGTTATACAAGCAGCAGAAAAACTCATTCTGCTGCTTTCTGCCTAGGTAGGGTTGCCAGATACTTTCACAAAAAATACCGAACATGGAGAGAAAAAAATTGGTTGAGAAAACAAAACAAAAGCAGGGGACCAAAGTTGTTAAGCCAAAAAAAAAAAAAAAAAAGCCACTGCGCCTTTAAATCCCCGCGCTCCCCACTCCCCCCAGATGCAGCAGAGGAAAGAATGCCCTAAGCGGCCTTCCAGCCGAGAAAAACAGAAAATACTGGACATTTCACGTGTCTGGTATTTTCTGGTTTTTTTTACAGGACAGAGGCCACAAATACCGGACTGTCCAGGCCAATACTGGACACCTGGCAACCCTAGGCATAGGCAGGAGTGGGGAACCTCAAGCCTGGAGGCTGCATCCGGCTCCCGAGACTCAGGGTTCCCGCTAGCATTGCGGAGCCAGAGCACACACAATTTACTAGCCTGTGGGCCCCCGGCTCTGGTGTGGGAGGGGAATGTGTGGAGTGTTTTTCTCCCCAATCGGGGGCCATGTCTGTGAGGATTTGGATGGCTTTTTTTTTGCTTCCCACTTGTGCGTGGTCTCCAACTGACTTTTCTATGGGTCATCGGACCCCCAAACCAAAAAAGGTTCCACACCCTGGCATAGGCTCTGGAGCGTAGCCCAAGCATAGGAATCACGGCTGCTCCCAGCTTAATTTTCCTGTCAGGCGCCAGCTAGTGAGCCATTGGGAAACTGCAGGTTTTAAGGATTCCAGCGGTTCTTTCAGTCTGAAAGATTTGAAGCAGGCTGCCAGGAACTGCATTGGAGGGTGGCGATGCGTTCCCCAAGGGCATGCTACTGTAACCCACACACCTAGGCTACATCTACACTGCAGAGTTTTTGCGCAAAAACTTGCGGAGCATCCACACTACAAGTGTATTTTTGCACAAGAAAAAGTACAGTAGATCGTCAGAAGACAGGGCTTTTTGCGCAAGAGTTATTCCTCTTTCTACAAGGAATAAGCCTTTTTGTGCAAGACCTCTTGTGCAAAAAGGTGTGTGAAGATGGACAACAGAAGAAACCCCTATAGGAAAAAGCACAGGTGCTCTGGCCATTCTGTGAATGGCCATCAGAGCTTTCTTGTTCAGGAGCATCCATGGCAGTCTGGACACTCTCTTGTGCAACAGCACATGGCAGTGTGGATGCACTCTTGTGCAAGAATTTTTTGCGCAAGATCTCTTGCACAAAAAGTTCTCACACAAGAAGCCTGCAGTGTAGACATAGCCCCTGTGCAGTTCACTGTCCCATGCAGTGACACCTAGACCACAGCAACAGATAAGAGAAAAAGACCTCTATAGCAGGGGCTGAGAGGCAGTTGGCTTTTAGCTCAGAGCATAGAGGTTCCTATGCTAAGCTCCACAACAGGTCCCAGGTTCAAATTCACCTGATGACGGTTACCACTACTTGTAGACCTGACTAGGAGCCTTGCTCTTGCTGGTTAGTTGTTCTGGGAACAAAAGGGCTGTTTGTTTTAAACTGTCAATATTGGCAACTGTATGGCAGAGGCCAGGCATGACAGGAGAACTAGTTAGGGGAACAATCCATGCATGACCCTTGCTTGCATCTTGATATGATCCATGAATGGCCTTTGCATCTTTGCCTGTCGGGGAGCATACTGCTGTTGACCTGTTTTAATTATAGTCTGTCAAATGCAGCTCCAGATCTCCTGCCACCTCCAGCAAGCCAAGGAGTGAGCTCAAACACCAGCACTTTGAATCCCCATCAGACTCTGTAAACCAGGCCCGGGGGCAGCCATTTTAATCTTAAAAAAAAAAAAAAAAAAA